GATTAATTTGGTATAAATATCTCATTTTTGAATCTGAGGGTCGAAACCCACTTTTTCCTAGAACAGCCCCCATATAAAATTCCGTGTTGATCAAAAAAATTTTATTAGTGAGTGACACTTGACCCCCTGTAGATCCGCAATGTCCTGCGACTGGTATAGAGACATATGTTGGGTTATTTTATGTTTGGAAAACTATCATCTGAATTCCAGTAATCATTAACAGATGGAAATTTAAAAAGACCCATATATATTAACAATGCTATCCAAATTTTCAATTCAGGAACAGTTAATGGATACCAGTCTCTTCCTGTTCCAGCACCTTTTTCAATTGCATATAAATTAGAATTTTCAACAAGTTGACTAAATATTTCATTTGTAAAAAAAAGCATAAAAATTGAAATTGGTGTCAAATTTGACAATAATCCTAATTCATGAGGCAATTTGACAATGGTGTCATGTAAACTGTGTGTATGCACCAATGGGTGAAAAGAAGGTGGTGGTGGAAAAAGATTAGAATCATTTTGATTATTATTGTTATTTCTCATACTAGCTGCAGACTGCCTTCTGCTATCAATCACTACCAATCTTCACTTAAAACTTCCACTTCATGTTCTTCATGTTCAATATGTTGAAAATAGATATTGAATTCATTTTCTTCATCTGCTTCAATAAAATCTTCATATTCATTCATAACTATTAATGTTAATAGAGCCCATTTTAATATTTTGATAATTAATTATTAATAACAATGCAAAAAAATAAAAAATTTTATTGTAGCTTTAAAAAAAAATTTTTTGATGCTAATATAAAATGATCAGCAATTATTTTATAGTGGCATGATCTCAAAAATCATTTTTCACTTAGAAAGTCATGTGTAAAAATTCATGTTACATGTGTTCCATCATTGGAAATAAATATGCAACATATTTGTTGCAAATACAATTTAAGGGTAGAGTTCGGTTACACATAATAACATATAGCAAAAATTTAAATTTGGCGTAAAAAAAATGGTTTGTACATACTAATACAGTCAACCCCCCTTGGGAATGAGTGATAGCGTGCACTTAGAGGGGGTATGCACTTAGAGAAACAAAGCATTTCATTGGTTGCACGTGATACCAATAAGAATAAAAAAATTTATTAAAATTTATTAATGTATTTATTATAATTAATCAATTACAACATTATGTTATTATCACCAAAAAAAAAATTCATATAATTATTGATTAAGATAAGATTCTAAAGTACTTTGTCTCATTGCATTTATTGTTTTTAAACTAATATATCTATCAAGAGAATTAACCAGTTTCATTTGTTGACTAGAATTTTCTTGTTGTAATAAAAATGTACAGACAATTTCCAAGCTTTTTGAAGCTTCACTAGTACTTATCAATACTTGCTTGACACTATCATCTTCTTCATCTTCAAATCATTGGTATCTATTTCTGGTTGCTGTTTATACATTTCCACAAGAGCCTCAATAATATTATTATCATCAGGGACTTCATATACAGAATTTTCTTCTGGATTATTCAAATATTCTTGAATAGGTATTGCATCATTTAGATTGAGAGCAGCAACTGCCTGAGAAAGTTGGTTTGTTGTTGGATTGTTAATATCATCAGAGAAATTGGACAAATTAACATTAATCGGTCTGGAAGAATTTTAGTATGATGCCAGCAATTATAAATGGTTTGTGATGACACTTCCTTCCAACTTTTAATTGCCTGTAATGCATCCATTTTTAAATTTTTTATATCATTTCCTGCTTCAACTTGATTTAGAATCCAGTTAATATGTAAATGACGATAGTGTCTTTTAAAAGACATAATGATACCAGCATCCATTGGCTGGATTTTTGAAGTAGTGTTTGGGGGGAGAAAATGGACATCAACATTTGAAAGAACCAAACCATCTATTTTGTGACTTGGACAATTATCAAGAAGCAATAATACATGCTGGTCGCCATATTTTGAAGCAATCTCTCTGTTGAATCCTTGGAGCCAACAGTAGATAACATCCAAGCCTTTGTATTGTGACAATATGTCATTGATAAGTTACTAAGGTCAACATTAATAAAGCATCGTGGTTTTTTAAATTTTCCAATTATTAATGGATCCAATTTATTTGATCCATCTGAATTAGCACATAAGGCAATTGAAAGTCTTTCTTTATTCTTTTTACATCCAGAAAGTCTTTGTGTGGCTAATGTTCTATCTGGTTCTAATCTATAAAAAAGACCTGTTTCATCCATGTTGTATATTCTTTCAGGTGGATAACTACCACACATATTTTTCAATAATGGTAAGGCTTCAGTAATTGCATTTATATCAGCTGATGATGCCTCTCCTTGAAGCTTTCATACTTGAATCCCATTCCATTTTTTAAATCTACAGTCAGCGCTCAATATAGTGAAGTTTTGACTAGTACAAATTTGGAAATTATCTTCAGAAAAATTGAATTTGTTTGGATATTAATGCAGATAGTTTCCAAATTTGTACTAGCCAAAACTTCACTATATCAAGCACCAACTGTATGGAGCCATCCAGAAGAGAAAGCCAATGTTCCTTCTGGTACTCTCAATCCATTTGCTATTTTCTTGGCTTTTTCAAGTAAAATAGCATCATTTAAGATTACTCTGTCTTGATAAATTAAAATAAACTCCTTAAGAGCAAGTTCAAGTTCAGGAACTGTTGGATTTTAAGTCTTTTGGCGTCTGGATTAGTAACTTCAGCATTTAGTATTTCTTCTTTTTTTTTGCAGAATTCTTGTTATAGTTATTTCAACCACTTTAATTCCCCATTTTTGTTCAATCCAATCAACATATTCTTTTCTAGTTAATTTGTTATTGCCAGCAAATAAACAAAATTCATATCTTTGAGAATTAGATAAAGTTATTTTACTTTTTGTAGGCATTTTATTTAGAAGCAATAAAAGAATAAATGTTTTAATGTTTTAATGAGATAAAAGTGTGTGAGTACAAAAATTAGATGGTTGGATACGTAAGAATATATAGGTAAATTATAATAAAAGTTTTTATTTTTAAAATTTGTTACAAGAGTTTAGTTATTAAAATTCTTGATTCATGACTTATTTATAATAATTTCGACTACATAAGCTTCTCTGTCTGCTTTCTTTGTTCTTTGTTCTAATAACCTTTGTATATATCTATTAAAAGAAAGAATTCTTTAGTTTCTTGTCACTTAATAAAAATGAACAATTTTTTACCCACCTGTTACAAAATAATTCTTTATCATCTCTTACTAATAATAAATTTAATTCTTTATTCTTTATTCTTTATCATCATTTACTAAGTATAAAATTTAATTATTTATCATCTCTTACAAAAAATCAATTCTTCATCCATTTTTTTTTGTTAATGTAACAAAGGAAACAAGGAAAAATTATTTAATTCGTGATCCGTGATAGAAGTAGACACTACAATTAGTAAATTTTGGGGGATCGTCACTATTAAATGGTTACAATTGACCAACTTCCAATGTTTTTTTACAAGCACACATGATAAATATTACACAGAATATTAAATCATATGATGCAAAAAATCTCAAATATTATTTT